ATGCTGCTTGGCCTGCTGTGTTCATCCAGCCCTGCACCTTGTTGTGTCAGAGGATACATCTAACTATTTTTAAATGGAAACTAGCAAAAGACTGCAGTATCTGAAAACAAAATTGAGAGATCATGTCATTTAGCCAAAGAATATTGATGGTTCTTCAGACAGTGAATGTCTTAGAAGGAGTATCCCAGAGGTCGTGCTTAAATGAGAATACCATCTCTTTTCCAAGATCTGTTGTGGGTGGCCAAAAACATGTGAAATTGGTGACACCAGCTCTTTAACCTCAGCAAAAGCTAACCTTGTGGTCATCATGGCAGCAGCTGCTGCCCCATTGTCACTGAAGCATGTGTTAGTGGGTTGACCCAAGATCATGGGAAATGAAGTAGGGCAGAGGTTCAGGTCTCCCTTTGAATCTACATGAGCCTTGTTTGGTTCAAGTCAATTCAGTGAAAATAATTTAAATCCCACTGCTGTGAAACTTCAGTCTCTGCAATTTACCCCAAAAATGACAGAAAAAGGAAATACTAGATCCTTTATTTAAAAAAAACTACACAAAATCAGCAACTTGTTTTTTATTTCAATAATATTAATAGATCTGCTATTCTCATGTACAAACTCACAACAAGTCACATTCACTATTCAGTCCTGTGCTCACTGATCTATATTGGCTCCTGGTTAATTAAATCTTCATTTTAAAATTCTCAATTTTGCTTTCAAACAGCTCCATGAACTCAATACATCCCATCCCTGTAATTTGATCTAAATCCTCTGAGATATCTGAATTCCACCTTTTTTTATTATTCATTCATGTGTTGTAGTATTTGGTGCTTGGACCATCACTTATTGCCTATCCTAAATTGCCCTGCTCAGCAGTGGTCAGCTGACTGTAGTGATTGTAACAAGGTTAGCCAGTTGGACATCATAGAATATGAGTTCCCTGATTGGGGCTGATAATCTCACCCAATCAGGGAGCCCTGGCTGACAGATTAAAAATAGTGAATATCAGAGATACTGACACCCTGGTGCTTTGGTCTGTATGACGCAGTACTATAGTTAAGGGCTGTCTATGTGGAAATAAAAGGTATCTTGGTAATGGGATACCAGCTTCTGTGGAGTTATTTCACTGACTTCATGAATTATTATTGACCATTTGGTGGAGGCAAACCCACAATGCTGTTAAGGAAGATGTCCTAAGATTTTGACCCAGTAACAGTGAAGGAACAACAATATACTTCCAAGTCTGGATTCTGAGTGGTTTGGGGGGAAATTTGCAGTTGGTGGTGGTCCCATGTATCAGCTGCCCCTGTCCTTCTAGATGGAAGTGATTGTGGGTTTTGAATGTGCTGCCTCAGGACCCTTGATCAATTACTTCAGTGAATTTGGATAAACATATGGATGATAATGGAATAGTTTAGGTTAGATCGGCTTCAGATTGGTTTCACAGGTTGGCACAACATCGAGGGCCGAAGGGCCTGTACTGCGCTGTAATGTTCTATGTTCTATGTTCTATGTTCTATGTTCTATGTTCTATGTTCTATGTTCTATGTTCTATGAATCTTGTAGACAGTGTACACTGCTGCTACTGAGTTCCAGTGAGGGAAAGAGTAAATAAAGGCATAGAGTAATACAGTGTGGAAACAGGCCTTTCAGCCCAAACTAGTCCATGCTGACCATGTTGCCCACTCAGCTAGTTCCAATTGACTGCATTTGGTCAATATCCCTCTAAGCCCTTTTCATCCACATACCTGGACATTGTTTTTAAATATTGCTATTGTACCTGCCTCAGCAACTTTCTCCAGCAGCCCATTCCATATACGCACCACTCGCTACGTGAAGAAGATTCCCCTCGGGTCCGTCTTAAATCCATCCCCTCTCACATTAAACTTATGTCCTCTAGTTTTCAATTCCCCATCCCTGGGAAAACAACTATATGCATGCATCCTATCTATGCCCCTCATGATTTTATACACCTCAATAAGGTCACCCCTCATTCTCCTACATTCCAAGGAATAAAGTCTATCCTGGCCAACCTCTCCCTGTAATTCAGGCCTACTAGTCCTGGTAACATCCTTGTAAATTTTCTTTGCACTTTTTCCAGTCTAACTATGTCTTTCCTACAGCAGGATGACCAAAACTGTACACAATACCCCAAGTGCAGCCTCACCAACGACTTATACAGATGTAACATAACATCCCAACTCCTAT